GTCTAATTTTAAAACCACTACACTTCTGTCTTTTTTTTTAGAAAAAAAACAAGACAGGAAATCCAGCGATCAGACTGACACGGCGTGAGGGTCTGCAGGGGTGTGGGGGGGGGAGGGGGGTGGCGAAACGCGGGTGCCGGGTCCCAGAGGCTGAGAGGATGTGGTCTTCGCAGAACGTTCGCAGCAGGGGGCCGGGACCGCAGCCCTCTCTCTCTCTCTCGTAGCAGAGCCTGGTCAGGGCTGCACTGCGCGCTCTGCCCAGGCACTGACCACTCCAGCGAAACAGCTCTGACCCCCCCCAGTTTCTGCTGCTTTCCGGTGGTCTCGGCAACTGCCGTCTCGGCTGTACTGTTCTCACGGCAGCTGCGGCCACAGATCTGATACCAGCAAGGCGACAAGCAGAGGTACACGTGCTCTCTGAAAGCCATGGAAAATGTTGACAGTTGGTGCCCCTCCACTTCACCTGATAAAAAGGCGTTGTGAGTGTAATTACGGGCCTTAAAAAAAAATTAAACGCTGTCTGTTGTATGTTTTTTTTCCAGACTTTTTTCTCGCTTCTTTTTCAGTTGACTCGACAAGCCTGTGGTCACAAACAGCCCCACACCCAGGGCTGAGGGCGACACAGAGACGCACCCCCTCCCCCAGACCCTGACTGTCCCGTACGTGCGTTCGCAGGTTTGCTCAGGAAACGATTTGTACTTCTAACATCCAATTAAGAACAAAGAGTAATGTCCGAACATCCTAACTGCAGCTCCTCCTCGGCTAGCCCGTCAGACCGTGGAGCTCAGAGAAGCCAGACTAATCTGATTTATCTCCCGATAAGCGGGCGAGAGGTGTCACGTTTACACCTTCAAACCCGACACTGCAAGCCTGCAAAACAGCAGCAGCAGCAGCAGCATGAGCTCTGCTGTGCATCGTGGAGGGGTCCGACAACATCCTGACCCACGATCAACTCCTCTCTCGGCTCTCTTTTCACTTTCCAGAAAGACCTCGGCGCTCCAAGAGAACACTGTTTATTACAAAATCGAGACTAAAGGTCCAGAGTGTTGTAGGACATGGTAACTGACAAGAATTAAAACAAAATAGAATATAGGGATCGGGTTGGAAAGGTGAGGTAAGGTAAGGGTGAGGTAAAAAATACTGCACATGGGCTTCTTCCTGCATCCGAACATAACAAGAATACATGAATGTGTGAGAGAAAGCGATGGTGGTGTGCGGGGCTCAGGAAGGCTGGAGCTAGATATAACTAAAAAGTGAATTAAAAACAAAACGAATTAAGAAGCTTAAGTTAAGAAGCTGCTGCTTTTTGCATCAGATCGCACTGGTGAAGCAGACAATACTTACGCCTTTACATTCACGCGTCTGTCTGCGCAAGCTTACTCCTGCATAAGGCGACAACTCTGGGGCACAGAGTGGCGAGAGCTATCCTCCCAGCTACAAAGCAGTGGGCAGTTTAACTGGCTGACTGAGTCCAGTCCCTACAAACAATGAAAAGCGCCAACACGTCACCTCTAGCAAGAAGGGAACGACGGGGACGAAGGTCTTGGTGCTCTCAGACAGCAGGCTCAGGGCCCGCACACAGTGCATGCGGAGAGGGTAGTACCGGATTGTGGGAACCAGCCTGGACAGAAACACAGAAGGCGAACGAAGGAAATATTAGACAGTATATGTTCAGGTGGGTAGCTGCGTCAGCGTGCGTAGGCTGCAAAGGAACAAGTAATAGGTTTATTCCATGCTGAAAAAAAGAAGAAAGAGAACACAACGTTTCAGCCGTGGAGCCTTCTTCAGGTGTCAACAAACCTATTACTTGTTCCTTAGACAGTATATATCAGGCCTTTAATATAAAAAACCCTATCTGAACAGAAGGCCAAGGTGGCTGAATCCAAGAAATGGTCAACACTGCCCTCTGCTGTCCCAATCGTGTAACAGCTTGTTCATTGAGGATAATCACACCTTTTTAAATGCACTATGCTATGTACTCTACTGTCACACACATACAAGCACATGGGCGTAACAATGTTCTAGAGTATAACCTCAATTCTAATGTGCCTTTGCTTTTGCCCAAAATTGCGATACCTTCACTCTTGGAAATGTAATTTTAACAAGCATGTTTTGTGTGGATGCGTATTTTTTTAAAAACCTGAAACTTTTTTCCAGGCCGATCACCTACGTGTCTCTTGATAACCCTCCATGATTGTTAAAGACAAGAGTTAAACTGGACTCTGCATCGGCGAGCTTTGTCCCCAGTGTGAAACTATACATTACGGTGAGTGGAAGAAAACTAAAAGGGGGCAGGTGGACCGCACTGTACTGTGAAGACATGGCACACAAGAGACGGAGAGAGACTCACTTCACACAGCCCACGATCACCTGGCACAGTGGGTAAATGAGTGGCTCCAGAACATCGCTGGGGTGCAGCGTGCCCAGCACTCGGCACCAGAGATACAGGCAGTGCACGTACTGCCAGTTGTACACCGACTGGTACGTCTCCTGTAGCGCGTGCAAATAAAGAAAAAGAGAAAAGGGAAACCGCATTCAGTCCTTCCGCGTCTACCTTGTGATCCAAACAAAACACGAGGAAAAAAAACACACCGCTCAAGTTACAGCGCTGTTATCTCAACGACCTCATCATGAGCCTAACTGGACCAATTCGACACTTTTCAAAGGTTTCCAGGCTGCGACGGCTTACAGACACTTCAGAGAACAAATCCAGGGTGGTGGATCACAGGGGCTGGAACCACACACCTATGAATTTAACCAATTTCCTTACAATAACATATTCAAGAGAGCAGTCTGCAGACACTGCAGTCATCCAAACAAAATGGCCCACCTACTGAGCCGTGTGATATTTTTAAACCTGTGCCGACTGCTACCGAAGTAGATATCAACTGTTTACAGACTTACAGGTTTTTGCTGTAAAAAGTTGCACAACAACCCTAACCATACAGAAGGTAGGGGAAAAAATGCGTATTCTTAATGCGTATTAATTAAAACCTGCCACACATGGTACGTTACGTGCAAATGTGTGCTGGTGGCTGGTAGAAACGTTCCCAGTGTTGATACCTTTGGAGAGCTCACAATGCCAACATGTTTTGGAGTTACTCCAGACTGATAAACAGCAACAGGCACAGTCTGTGCAGAACTAAAAACAGCTGGCGCCACACACCCAAGTGTTTCACAAGTTCAGTACTACCAACACTTCTTCTGAACTCGGGATCAGTGGTTCTCAATCCTGGTCCTGAAGTCTGCTGGTCTGTGTCTGCTGGTTATTCACATCTTTATGTAAATTTGCTTTCTGCTCTTAAAAGACCTGAATGAAATTTTAATCGCTGCGAAGTCTGTGCTAATTAGAGAGTTTCAGGACTGCCCTCATATGTGCCAGCTGAAATCTAACCAACCGGATGTGAGCAGAATCAAATACACCGTGGGACTTGACCACTGCAGTGTCATTCCCATCAATTCATCACCTACATACAGCTGCTTAGACAGAAATAAGGGAGTACTACCTAATTAGTAAGTTAAGGAGAGACTGCATAAAGTTCTGTGTGCTGTAGTTGTTGGAAATAACGCACTTAAGAGCATGTGCAACTTAAGACTGGGGGTAGAAACAAAGTCAAAACCAGCAAGCATTACATTCACAAATTAGACAAAGAGCTGCATCACACAACGAAAGAGGCTCAGTGCCTCCTGCCCCCTGGAGAAAGAGGCTCAGTGCCTCCTGCCCC